TCTCAGTTGTTACTTCTTCAGCACACACACACACACACCCACACACCCCATTTCTTGCAATCTTCCCTCATTTTTTCTGGACCGCTGTCTATTTTTGCTGATCTCCACTGGCCTCTTGCCAACTACATCATATCTTTATTGAACTGCAGTGCACTAAACAGGATAGAGTCTTCCAAGTGAATCTTTAACAGTGGATATCAGCACACATGGACTCTTTCAGTAGTCTTTAAGACCCTTCAGATATTCCAATGTGAGGGCTTTGCCATTCATGTTCAGCTTCTTCCACCATAGTACCCAGATTTTTTTCTTGTGAACAGGTACCTAGACAGTTATGCAAGTACAGATGAGTATTTCTGTGTAAGCATGGTATTTGCATTATTGCATTCCATCCATTTTAGATGATTTCTCTAAATATATCAAGATAATTTTAAATTCTCATCTTTTAGTATCTATAACATCTGCAGTCCATCCTTGCTCCATCTGCAAGTTTAATAATCATACTTTATATTCCATCTTCTATGCCTTCAATGAAAACATCAAATAAAACTTGATATGGGACCAAGGCCCACAGAATTCCTTGCAAAACACATGTATTTTGATAGGTTACAATGGAATTACCCTGTGGATACAGCTGTCCAACCAGACTTGACCTCCTGCCCCTTCCCACAGCAGTTTCATTTAGATCACAGTTCACTAGCCAGTTCATGAGGATATTATAGGGAAGTACTGCTAATGGCCTTGCAAAAAATTAAATAAAATAAATAAATTCAAGCTATATGACATCTGTGGCCACTACTTCACCCTCCCTTTAAGACTCCTAGAGTGAAGTTGATCAGGCTTAGGCAACTGGAAAACATCTAACCTAACTGGTTACTCTCTAAGCAGGTTTTGCATATTTGGGGCTGAAATTTTACCCCTTTTTCTTGGTAATAATTGCACTGTCTGCTTCCTGTTGACCTTTCAAGTAAAGATTGATGAAAAAGGGAGGGAAAAAAAGGACACTAAACTCTTTGGCTTCCTTAACGTCCCCTGCTGGTAGCACCACCCCCCCCCTCCCAACTTTGAGTCGTAGTCCAAACTTCCCTTTGTTTTCTCTTACAACTGTACCTGTAAAATTTCTTTCACTTTTGGCAAGTTTTGCTAGTTGCATCTTGTGCATTTTATCTTTACTAACTGTATACACACCCCCTAACCCCCCATGAATGGAGTATTGTGCTGGGTTCTCAACCAGCTGACATATTTTCTATCTTACAGATCTCTCTCTCTCTCTTATGCTTGTGGTCAATTAAAAGGTTGTGAATTAGCTGACTTCTGCTGAATTTCCTTACTTTCCTCTAAAATGGCATAGGTTGCACTTGGTTTCTTACTAGCATTTCTTGAAGGAACCGACAGCTCTCCGTAATTTGTTTTTCCCTTAATTTGCCTCTTATGAGTTCTTCCCTACCCATTCTCTGAGTTTATGAACATCTGCCTTGTTGAAATCTAGTGTCGTCAGTCACTCAGTTGCAAGCAGCAGAAGTTGACACTATGTTCGCTGCAGTACTGATTTCTTGTAAAATGCCATATCTGGCAGTAGACTTTATATGTTACACTGCCCTCTACCTATGTGTAAAACTGCCACTCAGCTGAGGAAGGTAGTGACAATTACAGTCTGTATTAGCCCTTAAGATTTAGGCTGCTGTTCAGAATTTAGCACGAAGAATGGGAAGAAAAATGTAACTTCAGAGAAACCTTCTGTAAGGCATTAATAACTGCCCTTATAATGGATCTCATTCAATGTGGACAGAGGATCTGTGCTGATGAAACATTTAGAACACAAATTCCTTATGATAAGACTAAGGTATGCAATGATCCTTGCCCTAATTTGTTTACTGAAAACTTAGAACATTATGCAAGCTGTCTTCATGATTCAATGGGCAGACAGTGAGACCATAACAGGGGAGAGGAAGAAAAAAGCAGTAAGCTTCACCTTAAGCAAAAATGGCTGATCAGACCACACTGGACCTATGCCTTGTAAGAACAGTGACAGAAGCTCTTACTGACATCTAATGCCGAACCAGTAAGACTTCAGGTCTTATTAAACCCCTCTAATATTCTTTAATGTTGCCTGAGACCACTGTAGATACTTCATGGACTCTCTCATAGGTCAACCACAGATGGTCAAGAAGTCAGGCCAAGCATGGTGCTTATATTAGAAAGCCTTCCTGTTACACAGTTATTTTTACCGACAATATTGCAATGCAAGTTTCTTTACTATCACTTCAACTCGATTTGGATTCCCTAAACAATGCAAATTAATTACCAATAACCAGTCCTAGCTATGGTCAATTTTTAGGATGGGTGTAAACTAATAAAAATGTGGGCATCATACTGGCAATATGGTGTTGGAAGACCGAGGACCAAGCCTTGACTATGATCAGCGTAGCGGTGATGGTTTAGAGAAATTCAGGTTATTGAGTCACTGCAAGTTACATGCAGGAGGGAACGAAAGTGCACTGTCAACACGCCATCTAGTGGCTGTATCGATTATGACAGGATTCCTGAATTGCTGTTCTGCTTGTGAATTGTAGTATTAAAAAATACTTTAGACAGAATCAGGATATGTAAGTCTGTAACCATTCTTTAATGAATCTAAGACATTTTGAGGTTATAGGTGATTAATAAAAAAAGGTAATAAAGTCTGTGTCAATGTGCAGACAAAACTGTTGCTGGAAGTTCTAGGCAGTCACTCTTGTCATTAACAGCATTCTGACAAGGTACTGGACAAGCAGTTAAGATTTTTGTCCTTCATATACAGACTATGTTCTAGATCAACTAATAAAAAAACCTGCTCAGTTTAGAACCCACTTCAAGAACAAGTTTAAGTATTTTCTTTAGCCGCTAGATTATGCAGTATTTTGTGAGGTAAAAGCAGACAATCTAGATGATAGATAAACTGGGCACATAGTATATGGTAATGCAAGGCCAGATGTGTTGTCCTCTAATGGGGAAAACTAATCCCCATCCCTTGAGATCATAGACTAGGAAGAAGTGATCACACACAACAGCATTCTCCCAGTTTTCTGTTTCTGCCTGGGATGTGACTGGCCTTCAGTAAACGATACAACCCTTCTGCTTTGATATTTATCTGTGAAATAGAGGTAGTACTGTTCCACAGAAGCTGAAACAGCGTTATAGTTCATGAGTACTTCTGTTTGTTGTAAAGGCCATATTTTCTACATTATATATGAAATAGAAAATACTATATGTATATATGACCTGTACCAGCATATTTAGGTGTACCACATGAGCTACAACTAGCACACAAGTTACTTAGTTATATTTAAACATCTGAGTCACCATCGCTCTCAGCAATTTTACACTTTTCTACTTAACTGAGAAGGCTCCCTAGACAGCTGTTAAACCATTTATCTTTAAATGCATTTAATTAAGTATGTGTATTTGTTTGAGGACGCTGAGTAAAGACATGCTGATGTAGGTTTCAGCTTGGGTAGCATTTCTTGAACTGTCCTTTCTAGGAAAGTAGAAATTTTGTTTTCATCTTTCTTCATGCATCATGAAATCAAAGGTGCCAAGTGTGCTCTCCATTTTTGGGAAATATTTTTTCTGTCTGTACGTACTTCTGAACCCTTAAAAACAAGTTTAAAATAGTTCATAAACAACGTTCACATTACCTGCATTTATTGTAATTAGTTCTGATATAAAGCTTCTATGGTGCATGTCTTTTGCCACATACAATAGCAGTTAATAATTATGTATATGAGTACAACATATGTATATAAATGTGCCCTACAGGTGGTTGCTGGACAAATTAGACTGTGCTTGATAAGAAAACCATGATTTTTAAAAGAAGTGCATAAAAGTCAGTTTCTTGGTCTTGCTCTTTCTTCCCAAATAAATCTAAAACTCAGAAGCTTATGCAATAAGCATATAAGAGTTGGCAGGTCTAAAGGCAACGTGCTTTAAGCGATCAAAGCTGAGGAGCTTAACCTCTTCTCCCTTCCTACCTGCAAGCATTTTCTAGACTTTCTTCTGATTCAATATTCACTCCAGATTAATTAATCTCAAAAGAGGTATTTAAAAAATGATTTAACTGAAAGAACTGTCTTTTAAGATGACTGCTAGTAATAATGTATTTTTACATTTACTGCTACGTATTTAAAAATACATCAGAAAATTAGGTACGTTTCCTCACTAGGACTTTCAGCCTTGCGTGTCTAGCTCCAGAGTACATGAACCCCAACTTATTTTTATTGCTTGTACAACCAGCACAACCCTGGCCACAAAAGGTATCAAAATAAGTAATTAGTACAAGAAAAAAGTCCGACGCTCAGGCTTCATTGCACAAACATTTAAACAGAGCAAATAATTTCTTTTACAAATGTGTTTCTCTTGTACAAGAATAATTCTGTACAGAAAATAGCTCTTTATATATTTTACAGAAGTACACTAACATTTAGATTCTCTATTAATGGATAATGATGGAATGCAATTTAAGATTTCAGTTATGTTTTAGAGTCACCAAATATCATAACACAGCAATACATCACTTCTCTAATATCCTTAAACTGCTTGACTTATCAACTATTGAGTCAAGACAGTGAAAACATTCCTAGAACCATGTTTATTGGCAAACACTCAAGTATCTTGAAACTGTTAGTTATGAAATGTGTCCTGAAAGTAATACCGTTAACTTAAGTGTCAAGGAATATGAACTTAAACCTTAACGAGGCAGCATTACTTGCTCACGCAGATTATCTTGCTGGCTAATACTGTAAAAACCAAATTGAACAGAAGCTTTTATATCAAACTGGTTTACTGTTAACGTGACCTTCAAAACAAGATAGCAGAAGCTACTCTAGTAAATGCTATACAGCATTAATACAACATATAAATGTAATAAAAATACTTTCATTTTCTTAAGAAAACACCATGGAAGGTAAAGAAAAAAAATCAGTTAAGATATAAAAAGTAAAACTGTGAAAGACGAGAAGAAATTGAAAAACACATGTATATATATTTATATGTAAAATGTAAGGGTATGCTAGGAAGTACATATATTTAAAAATACTCAATTTCTTCAAAGACTGTGTTAAAGTCCATATGGTATCATGTGGACCTTAAACATAAACCACATTCAAACACTTTTCTTCTACAATTGCTGTTTCAAGCACATGTACTCATATGCAAATTTCCTTTGCAATTAGTGGGAACGTAAGGACATTTATCCTTGAAATACAACTATATGCAGCAATCTTTTCTTGCTTTCTATGTATTTTATAAGTTTAAATAGAAGATGTAAGCAAACAAGTACTATATAACCCAATGACAGAAAACCTGAAATTTAGATTGTATATGATCTATTTAATATTCATACACAGCTACTTAAAGAGTTTGCCAGCTGTACCCTATATGAGTACCATTGACGCTTCCATGCTTCAAGATTCAAATGGGTAGCTACGTTTAGTCAAACATCACTCTCGCTCTGAGTTAGCCAGTCTCTTAACACAAACAACTTTCAAATAAATTCAGCTGGAACTGGTACACACCTCTCCTTCTCACAGCAGAGGTTGATATGGGACAGTAATGAATCACATTATACTGGTTCACATTTCCACGTAGTTAGAAGGAGAAACAAGCCCCCTGCAAAACCTTATTCCAGTGATTTTGCAAATTCTGCATAGTCAATGTATCCATCATTGTTCTTATCATCATCTCTTAAGACATCATCTATTAGACTAATCAGCTCTTCTTCTTTCATTGCCTGGGTATGCTCACCACCTTCCTACAAAAACAAAACCACATTGAACAGTCTAGCAGTGTTTCCCATCTAGTGGCACATACAACAGATTACTGACAAATAATTTTTTGTTAAGCTATTCACATTTGGTGCCTAATTTGGCACTAAGTTTTATGTAATCATTTATACCAATATAAGCAACTTTCACCAGGCACAAGCTATGAAGTCCAAGTTCTCTGGACTTCAGAACAAGCCCTCTGTATCCAGCTAATATCCTTAGCCAAAAGTTCTAAAACCTGAATAGCACAGTATATAATGAGGGAGAATAATCTAACAGATGTATTCTTAATTTGGATCTTGATGTCATATAGACATTATAGTTTCTATACAGTACAGAAACATCTTCCTTGCAAAATGCAGAACTTGACAGTAACAGAGTAGTGAAAAAATCCAGCACTGTAGCTTAATGTCACTAAAATTCTTAGTAACACCCCTTACAAGCAAAGGGGAATACAAAGAGGTGCCTCTGCACAAGAAACAGCAAGTCATTATTCTGTTCTCAGCTAGGTATTTTTTGCTACAGCTGTACGCAGGAAGTTATGTTACTCTGAATTGTGACTTCCAAAAGGTCAGTACAAGATAACGTGTTAGTATTGTCTTCATAATCATTGTATCCTCCTACTTTGTCCTTAAATGTTCCTAACTGGAAAGAGAATTTGCGTTTAGAAGGCAGCAGACTGCAACTGGTTCTTCTAACACTACTTCTGTGCAAAAGGTCTCTTACCAGTTTGTGTAACCACAGCAGTAACAGTTTGGAGTTGAAAACAGCAGCCTTAAAACCTCGAATAGCATGGTATCACATGCTATTTCTACAAACCTTCATGAGCATTATCTTATTTTGGATAATTTCCCTTTCTCCCCATCCCTGCCTCTGTATCCCCTCTGTCAAATAATTTTCACTCTGCAGTCCTTCCTCACTCTAACATCTACACTACAATGGAAACTTCTTGAAGACTGCAATGTGACATGAAAAGCTGTGATAAAGCTAGCACATTTATAAATCAAACCAAAACTATCACAGGGAAAAACAATCTCATTTTCAGACAAAACTGTAACTCCAGTCAAGATGTATTGTAACTGTTCCATTCTATTGTAAGCTGCTTTTAGCGAGTCAGAACTGTTTCCAAACACACATGCCGTTACAAAATTCCACCTACCTCTTTGTGGACGTGTGATATAGCAGTAGCAAGCTCTAACCCATCTAACAAATTATTGCCATCGTAATCATGCATTTTGAAGTAATGAAGCTGCAACTCTTGTGGAGACATCTCAGATTCTGGTTTCTCAATAACACCTTCCAAATGTTCCATGATGTGGCTAAGAGAAAAAAAAACAAAAAACAAAAAACCCCACAACATATCCATCAGTTAATATTTAATGCTCTGTTCACATCAAATGTAGTCTTTGATCAAACAGTCAAGTACACAGGAAATATTGTATCTCTAAAAGCACCCTGGACAACCAGGGCAACTAAAAGCTACAGTTTTATACTAAGATAAAGGGAGCACAAAGGTTGTTTCTTACGGGTGCTGTAGTGGCCTCTAATACCTTTGATAGCTATTTCTGTTTCTTCTGGCCTACTTAGCAGGTTATCAAAACAACTGAAGCAGTGCCCAAAATCTCCTTTTGGCTGCCTTCCAAAGCACAGGAACTGAAGGAAGGTCTTTCCCAGTCAAACATGAAGTATTATAGGGAGTTTTATTTGCAGCTACCACTGTTCTGTCTGTATGAAGAAGCAAATGAGAAAAAAACTCTCACTACCTGTTCAGAGTATGATTTTGTCTAAAGTATGTTGATCTAGGTAAGCAGGATTCCTGTAAGAAACTCTTTATGGCATAAGTAGGGCTAAAGGCTCCAGAGAGATCTTTCTAGGTCTAGTATCTCTACAAACTTAGTGAGCAAGCATATCTCATATCTGACTCCAGCTAGTCATACAACACCCTGAGAAAAAAAGGTGCCCTAGGCTTAAGTCCAACTCATGCAACAAGACAGGAGATAAGCAAATCATTAAGAAGTAAAGTTTACATTTTTAGAACATGGAACACATACTCTTTATCTTGTACCAGGTTCTTATCAAGGCGAATATTTGCATGTTGACTCTCTCCTATGTGTTCCTCAGCTAGGGCAGAGATGAAGAACGCAGCCAGAAAGCAGAACAGCAAATGTATTCTACTCCTTTGGGCCATCATGATCTCCTACAAAAAAGAAAGCATTCCCCCCCCCAAAAAAACAGATGAAAAATGCAATCTACTTTCAGCAGATATACAGAGTGCTTAGAAATAACCCCTCTAAATTCTAGAATAGAAGAATTCGCTTCATTTCAAACACGTAGCAAGCAGAAGACCAGAGAGCTCCAATTAAGAATTTCTATGAGGGTCCCTATTTCAAGGAAGTATGCAGTAATTTTCAGAGAATGACTTTTTTTTTCATGCAGCAAACGTGCACTCTTTAGCCGTGCTCGAGTCTTCATACAGCTTCCAAACCAACCACGCCAGTTTCAGGCAGACCTGCCCCACAGCAATGGGAGCAAAGGTCGCTTACGGTATCAAAGGGGCTACATCTCATTAGTAGATCTATTAAGACTGCGTGCCCTAAATAACGTACAACTTCAAAAACGCAACGGTCAGTGCAGCGCTTACTTCACATGCAAGTGAAACACTAAGGCCCTTCGGCGGGGCGAGCGGAGTGGAGTGCCCGACCCCGACGAGCAAAGGAGCCGATCGTTGGGTTCGGCTTCCCCCTTCCTCTCCCGCCTCCAGCGGCGCCCGCTGAAGCAACCCCCGGTTTGCAGCCGGTTCGGCACGGAGGCCCCGACAGCTGGCACCGCGCTGGCCGCCCGCCGCGCACCCGCGGCTCCCCGCCTAGCAGGTCCCTTTGGGGAAACCCTCGCCGCAGCGAGGAGGGTGGGCCCGCCGCCCCCCCGCAACACACCCCGCTCCAGCCTCGGCGGGCTAAGGGGCCCCACCGCCGCCAGGCTACGCACCCTCCGGCGAACGGCCGCCGCACCGTCCCTCCCGCGGGCTGCGCGTCACAGGCAGGTGGAGCCGAGCTCGGGGCAGGGCAGCCACCATCCCCGGCGTTACCTTTGACCCGACGCACGCGCCGCGCTCCCGCCCCGCCCCCTCTTCCCGCCCATTGGCTGCACCTTTCCGCCGAGCGGGGACTACGTCACCGCTCCTGGAATTCCACGTGGAGCCCTCGCTGAGGGGCAGGTGGAGCGCCCCGCCCAGCGCCGGGCGGGGCCGCGGGCGCGGCCGTTGAGGTGGGCGCGAGGGGGCGCCGGTCAGCTGCGACAACCCCTCACCGGCCTCCGGTGAGGAGAACCCCCCTTCGAAGGGACGCACCGGGAGGGTCCAACCAGCGAAGCCCTGGGCGGAGGGTGGGTGCCTCCGGCGAAGCCGAGAGGAAGGGGGGCAGCGGGAAGGGGCAGCGTAAGCTCAGCGTGGTGCCCACTCATGGGGCTGTCCCTGGCCGCCCCTGCTCTGCACAGTTCCCTTGGGACCTCTCACCAGCCCCCTCCACAAAGGACCAGCTGTGCTTCTCCTGCCCCACTGCTCTTTTGGGAACCGCAGCACCGTTACCCTCTGTAGTTTATAAACTGTTTGTTCTCTCATCAACCGTCAAAGGTCTCTTTATTTTTATACCTGATGTTGGAACAGCAGTGGCTTTCGCCTCTCAAGGTTGTAACCCTCGGAGCAAACTCCAACCTCAGAAAGCAAAGTGGGCTTTTGGCTCGTTACTCAGGCCTCAGGCGCTAGCTGGTTACTCCGTGTTGAAGTCGCTACAGAAGGGGGGCGGTGGCTGGCGGGAACAGCTGGCAGAAGAGGCCTGAGGTTTAGGTGACTTCCAAGGGCTTTGGTAAGGGACTGCACCCGTGGCCCTTCCCACCGAGGAAGGGAGTCCGGGGCCTCAGCAGGTCAGCAAACGCACCACCACAGGGGTGATGCCCGCCTTCCTCGGGCGCCACGGACCCGCTGTGTGTGGCAGGCCCAGGGCAGTCGGGTAGGCACGGTGCCCCCAGCGTGCCGCGATGCCGGGACACGTGTTGGGGCACGGCTCTCCGGCCCGGGCATCAAGTGAGAGGCGGCAGGGAGGGGCGGCCGTGAAGGAGCCCCGGTCCCCGGTCGCAGGCCTCGGGTAGGGAGTCGCCCCGCCCGCGCACGACCCGCCGGGCACCGGGCGGGGCCGGGGCCGCCTGTCCGCCCGCCCGGAACCGTGACCCCGCACATGCACCAGGGGCTTCCCGGGCGCTGCCGCTGGGGACTCCCCGCCGGGCGGGGCGAGGCGGGCCGGACGCGGCGCTAAGATGGCGGCCAAGGGCTCGCACTCGCACGTGAAGCTGGAGGGGGAGATCGAGCGGTGCCGGGCGGAGGGGCACTGGGAACAGCTCCGACACCTGGCCCAGCAGCTGCTGTCGCTGGCGCGGCCCCCGCGCAAGGTGGCGGCGGCGGGGGGCGCGCAGGACGCGGGTAAGCGGCGGCGGGGCGGTTGCCGTTACCGGACCGCCCGAGCGTGGGGTGGCGGGGCCGGCTTGTTGCTCTGTGCCGCTGCCCGGGGCTCGGCACTCCCGGCCCGGTGGGCTGACGTGGGCGGGAGCTGCGGCTGCTCCGTCTGCCGGGGTTGCGGGAGAGGGCTGGGGAACGCCGGGGTGGCGGCGGAGGGAGCGGGGCGTCGCCCGGTGTCCCCTGTAGGCGCCTCGGCCCGGCGGCGGGAGGGAGGGATGCCTAGAAGAGGCGGCGGGAGCCCAGGAAACGGCGTTCAGGAAGATAACTCTGTGCTTCCTCTTCATGTCAGCGCCTCCGAGCCCCTCGGGCTGCGAGGAGCAATGCACTGCTTGGGGCTCTCAGTGGGAGTAAGGGGCAGCAGTGCTTGCTCGGTGGCTTCTGTGCGTTTGTGATGTTGCCCTCCCCTCGATAAGCACCTGGACGCGGGTGGCGGCTGCAGTGCTCGGTGCCTGCCTTTAATTTAACAAGCTCGGCTGTGCTGCGGGCAGGCTACCGACCGAAATCTCCCGTGTTTGGAAATATCTCTCTTCAACTTCTCAATATGTGTGATGCTGATTCCCTCTTGCCCTGTCCCTACCCTGTTCTGGATGCCCTTCTATCATCTCCCTCCCATTGCTGAAGGGGACTGCTTTATTTAAAGGCTTGGGCTCATCCAAGTATCCTTTCACATGTAAGACAGCTTTCATAAATAGTAAATGTATTCTTTTTTTCCTGTTACAACACAGTACTTTGCTTCTTTTTAAATGAAATGACTTGTGAGAAGTGAGGCAGCCTAACTTAGAAATATAAAATTCTGTGTCTGTAGTCAACAACAGTAAGTTGTGAAGAGGACCTGATCCTAGGCACCGCACTGGTACAAGAGGTTCTGCTGCTGAAGTCAGAGGAGCTATTTCTATGAATAAACACATTTCTTTAGAGGAGTGTTTCTAGGATGTGGCCTTAGAGTTAATTGAAGCTTACTGGGGTGCAGTAAACTTCAGAGTGGGAAAGCATGGTGGGGGAAGATGTTGGTAGCTCAATACATGTTTATTTATGAGGCTTTCCAAGTGTGTGCATGATGCAGATTGAATACTGTGTTGAGAACCACATGGCCAACCTTTGAACTTTTGTCAGGTTTCAGCAGCGCTTCCCAGGTGCAGAGATCATCATGCAGTTTGGGGGTATTAATAGTTGAAGAGTTCGTATTAGTTTGTTCCCTTGTAATTAAGAGGCATAACAGTATGATTGCTGTAAAAACATTTTTTAATTTGCTGCTATGTCATCATAACTTGCTAGTTATGAGAGTTATGAATGCTTTGTTATTGCTACAGAACTTTTCTTCCAGCGAGTGACTAGCTACAGTTGTGTGTCTGGATGGGATTTTTTTAATGGTGGTATTTGCTTTGAGAGATTGTGTGCATTTATTTGTTAATTATATATGGTCTTGTGTAATTCCTTAAGTTTGGTTGAGAGATTAGTGATTGCCTGAAAGCTCTTCAGTGTTATGTAGAAATGATTGCATGCAAGGCTGAGGGGGGAAATATACTTGAACATATATACTTCCCTTTTTATGTACCTATACTTTGTTTATGCAAGTTAGTTGTAGACCTGCAATTGCACAGGAGGATCTATGGTTGTAATTCAATATGCAGCTGAACTCTTAAGCCACAACAAAAAAAAAATCTAAACCAAAAAAAACCCCCACAAGTTGATTATTAATGCTGTATGTAATGTACAGGTAGTAAGTAGGCATAAGTTGTCCCATGGACTGAAAATAAAGAAATATATACACTATTGTGTTTCCTGCATTGTAGAATTTCAAACTTTGAAATGTGAAATATATATGAAACGTAGGGCTTGGCTCTTTGATTTATGAAGACTTTCTTACCCTGCTTGACCCACTAGTCAGCTGAGGTACTACTTTTATGAATAAATGAACTGTAGAACTGGACCCATCATGCAGGAATTCCAGGTGAATTTTTTTTTTTTCCAGCACATGATTGCAACATTGCATGATCCGTCATGCTGTATCCAGTGCTACTACCTATGTTTGAGTTTTGCTTCTGTGGAACTGTGAACAGGAATGGATTTTAATGTAAAAATAATTTTATGTGGCATGTTAGTTATGTCATTGGATCAAGCCTTCTGTGTCTTTAGTAAAAGATGTCTAGAATGTGTCTAAATTCTCTATTTTTACTTTTTTCTGTGAATTTTCAGCAAAATCTTAAAAATTTCTGATGTGGTTACTGTTCTGCAGTGAAATTCATAGCTTATGTGTAGTCCAAAGCATGTATTTCTTGCTTGCACATTTGTAAATCTAAAGCATGCACTTAAACATTTGCCAAGATTGGTCTTATACTTTTGAAAGTAAGTTTTGTAATGAAAATTCTTAACTGTTATATTAGTGACAACACAAGAATGAACTGTGCTGTCAAAATTAAAGGATTCATTAGGGAAAATCTTCAAGTTAAAAGGAAATGTTTCAGTTTTTCATAGGAAACATACTGTTTCCAATACCTAGAAGTTAATGTAACTTTTTTCTGAGTTACTGTTTCTGTGTCTCAAAGGTATGTTGTTTTGTTTTTGTAATGTTATTTATCAGCAGTATGGCATTAAGTGATGTTTCTTGTTGGTTGGTATGTGCTTTCAGAGGACTACGGGAGTATGCTGCTTGCAGAGGCTCTGCTGGAAGAATGTTTGAAGGAAAAGTTTGCCAAACTGAAGGACTCCATTCCACTGACAGAGAAGAATGAGCCAAAACTGAGTGAAGCTAAACAGTATCTGACCAATATCTTAAGCAGAGGAAAGCTACGAGTAAGTGGGCTCTGTGGTCATAATGCCTGCCAACTGGATGATTCTTTCATATGATTATTAGTCTGATACACGGTGTTGGTGTTGCCTGTTCATGTCCCTGTATTGTAGGTATTACTAATGGACTAGTAATTCAATATCTCCTTGCAGCATCTTCTGTTGGGAGACTTGCTTTTTCACATGCAAACAAATTACGTACTACAAATATATATTCTGTTTATTTTTTTATTAGAAAGAAGCAGGATAAATATTTAGGAATTCTCTGGGGTGGTGAGGCATGGCCACATAACAGTGCTATCAGGCTAGCACAGCAGAGTGACCTACTGCTCCTGGTCTGAGGGAATTGTGTACACCTGGTCAGTTCCAGATCAGAGGTAAAATGTGCCGCAAGCTGCTGTCAGGCACTTATGGTTGTGGTGTGAGTCCAGGATTATAGCCTTCCATTGCTTTCAGTCTCTGCCAGAGAAGTTATGCGAAGTTATGCTTTTATTTTATTTTGTGGTCTGGGTGTGTGGTTGGTAGCTGCCTGTCAACTCAGCTGCAGAGCTTAGGAGTGTTTTAAGACTCTGCCTCGATGGCTGCTGCTGTGTTGGTGTCCTTGGACACACAGTTGCATAACTTGCTTTAAAAAGATGAAGAATTACAACAGCCTGTTCTAGACTTGTATTACTTTTGGTGCTGAAACTTACAGGCTAGTTAGCTTGGAAGTGTATGTTACACTTTTTTCACGTTAATTTCCAGGGAGCAAGTGTGCAGTGGCTTTTCTGGGGGATTTCCTTGCTCTTAACTTCTTGAAAGTCAGCTTATTTAAAAAGTAAAAAGGAGGGGGGAAGAAAGGGGAGTCCATCCAACCCTCTTTCTTTATAGTTTAGCCCCAGTAACAGCCAGAACCACTGAATTCTTCCAGGTCTTGGTGTTAAGTTTGGCTGCATGAATTGCCATTACTATTTTTTTGTTCATGGTGACTTGGCTACTCATGCAGCATTGACCTTGTGTTGACTGCATGTATGAAAACAAAAATGAATATGAAGGCTTAGGAACCTTTTCATGCTTTCCAAAGCATAAAAAGGGTCTGAACAGTTGTATTTTACTGAGATTTTTTTGTTACACAGATTTGTATGCATGTTTTCAATCCTTAAGAAATGAAACAAATCTTGGAAATAGCAGGCATGCTTTCTGGTTTTCTACTGTTGCCTGAAAATTCTTTGATAACTTAAATTTTGGGAACTTTCCCGCTCTTTAATTAAATGTACAGAGGAGAGGGGAGCACTTGACTAAAAAGTGATGCTTTCTGCGTAGCTTAAAAGCAGGGGATTTTCTTGGTGTGCATGTAGGTAGTTTTGACAATGCCAGACTTTTCTCTGCTATCTGTGGCTGGTGAATCAATAGAGTAGGTCAGCTGAGGTGGCTTTTAAGCTGTGTGTTTCCAAACTGAACTCCAGAGTAGTTGCCCGACCTTTGTTGCCTGCTGCTCTCATGAGCATAGCCCTAAGAGGTCTAGACACTTAAATCCTTCCTACTCTGGCCTGTGGAGCTAGCAGCATTGAGAGGAAAGCATTATGTATCTGCTTAATTTGTTTTGAAGTACCTCATTCTTGCTGTCTGGTATTTTACCATGTAAACACTTTATTCCTCTCCCCGCTCCATTTCAGCCTAAGTACATGACAGAAGCTATGCTGATCCTAGGAAAGCTTCATTATGTGGAGGGATCCTACAGAGATGCCATCAGCATGTATGCAAGAGCAGGAATTGATGACCTCTCAACAAAAGATGAACCTCTGTACATGCTGCGTTTGGTAACTGAAGCCTTTGTTATTAAAGGTAAAGGACCACATATGTATATTTGAAGTATGCTTTGTTTAGGTTGAAGTTGAAGGTTTTCTCCAAGTGAGTTGATTGGAGCAGAGTTAGGGCAATGTTGTGTGCTTTAGAAAATCCAAGTGGGTATGGTGTGTGTAGTTTAAACTTAAAGACATTATGGAGTCTTAGTCCATGGTTTTTAAGCTTGGCTGGCTTTTAAAGAAAAGCTTGAAATTGGAAATCTTGTGGTAAGTGTTGGCTGTAAGTCAGCAACACACTTGAACTTGCATTATCCATTTTGGGAAAATCTAAATCAAGTACTTGGCTGAATTGGGGCCTGTGTTTTCTCTTAGAAAGAGTTCATCTACTTGTAAATTTTAATGATTTCGGTGAATTAAGCAAGGATGATGTTTCCAAGTTTTTAACTCTGGACTAACAGAATATGTGCTTTCAAAGCAGGTAGTCTATTTTTGCAATGCATGTCACAGTATCAGACCTTATGTACAAACAGGAATCTCTCCTCCCCCTTGTAATTCTACGGACATTGCACTGTTTGAGAGATCCTAATAAAAACTGCCTCTACGTGTAGTGAAATTGCATTTCCTTTTTGAGTGGGGGAAAGGAAGACCCTAGTCAGTTTTTGACTTGGGGGCGGGTAAAGATCAGTAATCTTCTACTTCATTTGCTTTCAGTTCCTTTATAAATGTTGCTCAAGTACTGCTACCTATCTACTGCTTTCTACTCTTTTCAGCATGTCCACCAGCTAATTAGGTGAATGAGAACTCTGATGATCAGATACCTTCAACTGGTATGTAACAGAGTGAAACCAAATCAACCCAAATTACTGTTTGACTGGGCTGCTAGTATTACTGATAATAATTTGGGTGTTTTATGATGTCACACAGTCATTCAGCTTTTTTGAAAACCTGTTTGTGCTGCTTTGCTTGTTTTGATTTTGTTTTCTGTGGCACTGGTTGAATCTGCTTCAATAATGAGCTTTTGTGGAGCAGGACTAACTTACTTGTAACTCATGCTAACACTTGCACAGTGCAGAGGAGTGAGTAACTGCCAGTGCATTCATAGCAGTGTATTTGAGAGCAACTATTGGTGCACTCCAGAGTCTGAAGGACATGCACTGTCCTCACTGGGAACTGGATAAGGCACTTGGTGAGGTGTGAGTGTAATGATAAGGTATGCATTAGCACTGATCGAATAACACTGTTCCTGTAAGGCCTCTTCTATGATATTCATTGCCTCACTTGAATATGAAGGTATTGGGAGTGGAGGTGTTTGCCTCAGAAGATCAGGCTGTAATTCTTTTTTCCATGTGGTTTAGCACGGAATGTAAATATTGCGTTGCCCCTGTGTTTGTGTGTAAACTGTAAGGAGCCCCTGCCATTGCAGAGCAACCTCTGTGTATTACTGTTCCACAGTTTTATGTCCTCCATGATGATTATTTTCAGATTAGCCAAGATTATCAAGGGTACAGTAAGTCACTTGGTGTTCTACTAAAGTTTCTGACACAGATAAGTCCAGCAGAGTGGAGCTTGTCCAGCTGAGTTTGGAGAGGGCACTCACTGCTATGATCACTGTTCCCCCATGGCATGTGCTCAACTTCTCAGTCTTAGAGAAATAAGCCCTTAAATGTTAGAAGTTTGTACAGGTAACTATGGCAATAGTGGTGTGGATTTAAAATTTAATTTCAAACCATGTCTGTCCAGGCTAACTCTGCAGGGCAAATAACAGCATGGAGTTGAATTATTTAAAATTCATTTATACTTTATGCTAAAGATTTTTCTTATTCCCCGTTTTCATTTGGTATGTCTGCAGAAATTCTGTTGATCCATACCATATTATTGCATTTGGTTGAACTACTGGCTGCTTATGCAAGCTGAAACCTTCTTTAAAGATGCACTTGAACATCGCTGGTGTCATGGTTTAACCCCAGCCAGCAACTAAGCACCATGCAGCCACTCACTCACTCCCTGCCCTGCAGTGGAATGGGGGAGAGAATTGGGGAAAAAAAAAAAAAAAAGTAAAACTCACGGGCTGAGATAAAGACAGTTTAATAGGACAGAAAAGGAAGGAAATAATAATATTAATAAAAAAAGTCAATAATAATAATAAAAGAATTGGAATATACAAAACAAGTGATGCACAATGCAATTGCTTACCATTTGCCAACCAATCCCCAGTCAGTTCCTCAACAGCAATCCACCCCTCCCAGCCAACTCCCCCCAGTTTATATACTGGGCATGACATCACATGGTATGGAATATCCCTTTGGCCAGTTTGGGTCAGCTGTCCTGGCTGTGTCCCCTCCCAACTTCTTGTGCCCCTCCAGCCTTCTTGCTGGCTGGGCATGAGAAGCTGAAAAATCCTTGACTTAGTCTAAACACTACTTAGCAACAACTGAAAACATCAGTGTGTTATCAACATTATTCTGTACTAAATCCAAAACACAACACTATGCTAGCTATGAGAAAGAAAATTAACTCTATCCCAGCCAAAACCAGGACCACTGGTAGTAAAATTTTTGCAAGGATCATTTAAGCAGCAATCCAGAAAAGCCACAGTCCTGTCTTTATTTCAAGGCAGAACTTAGGTTCCCCGCTTAATTTCTTATTCACATTTTCAGTAATGGGAGGAAGCTGTTGGTTTAATAGAATATCCCTGTTCACCCAGCATTAGTTAACACCAGAACTTTTGTCTCATTTACTATGAACTTGAAACCACTTTGGTTTTGTGTAGGTAGTACTGCTGGGTTGTGCCTATATGCAGAATGGCAGTATAGGTTCTCAAGCACTCAGGATTATGCTGGAAAGGTCATGGAAGAAAGAAGAGTCGAATTGAAGGCACTCACACTTAACCTTTTACAGTTGGAAACAAATAAAAATGTAATGAGAAAGATCTGGGATACACTGGGAGGAGCTGCATAGGTGAAATCAGTGGTAGAAATGAAATGTGAACCAGCAAAACTGAGTTTGCTTTTTTTAGAGCACCTTTTGAGCTCCACAACACTGAAGGTTGGACATTGAGCTAAATCTCTGGGGTCTTCCTCTGAAGGTCCATAGCATGTAGTAGGTTCATGTTATGCTAAGAAGCAATATGGATTTGCACCCTTGTGATTGGACTGCAGAAGTTGAACAGGGAAAAAGTTTCTTGCTTACCTTGCTCAGTAGACTTCCACCCAAGGTGAGTATCAAGCAGTAAACATTGACGTTCTTTATAAATGCAGGGACTTGAGCAGTTGACAAGTAAAAGGAGAAATGGCAGAGAGGGCATGACTCTTCCATTTTCCATCGTCTATCAGCAATCCTGGTCAACAGGGGAGGTCCCAGAGGACTGGAGGCTTGCCAATGTGATGCCCATTTACAAGAAGGGTCAGAGGGAGGATCCGAGGAACTACAGGCCTGTCAGTCTGCCCTTGGTACCAGGGAAGATTATGGAACAGTTTGTCTTGAGAGCACTCACATGACATATGCAGGACAAGCAGGGGATCAGGCCCAGTCAGCATGGGTTTGCGAAAGGCAGGTACTGCTTGACCAACCTGATCTCCTTCTATGACCAGGTGACCCACCTAGTGGATGAGGGAACGGCTGTGGATGTTATCTTACCTTGACTTCAGCAAGGCCTTTGACACTGTCTCTCATGGCATACTCCTTGAGAAGCTGGCGCCTCATGGCTTGGACAAGTGTACTTTTCGCTGGGTGAAAAACTGGATGGATGGATGAGCCCAGAGGGTTGTGGTGAATGGGGTGAAATCCAGTTGGTGGCAGGTCACAAGTGGTGTTCCCCAGGGCTCAGTATTGGGGCCAGTTCTGTTTAATATCTTTATCAGTGATCTGGATGAGGGGATCGAGTGCACCCTCAGCAAGTTTGCAGATGACACCAAGTTGGGAGGCAGGGTCGATCTGCTTGAGGGTAGGAAGGCTCTACAGAGAGATCTGGACAGGCTGGATTGATGGGCTGAGGCCAAGTGTATGAAGTTCAATGAGGCCAAGTGCCGGGTCCTGCGCTTCGGTCACAACAACCCCATGCAGCATTACAGGCTTGTGGAAGAGTGGCTGGGAAGCTGCCAAGCAGCGAAAGACCTGGGGTGCTGGTTGACAGCCGGCTGAATATGAGCCAGCAGTGTGCCCAGGTGGCCAAGGGGGCCAACGGCATCCTGGCCTGCATCAGAAATAGTGTGGCCAGCAGGAGCAGGGAGGCGGTTGTTCCCCTGTACTCGGCACTGGTGAGGCCGCACCTTGAGTACTGTGTTCAGTTTTGGGCCCCTCACTACAGGAAAGACATTGAGGTGCTGGAGTGTGTTCAGAGGAGGGCAACCAAGTTGGTGAGGGGCCTGGAGCACAAGTCTTATGAGGAGCAGCTGAGGGAGCTGGGGCTGTTTAGTCTAGAAAAGAGGAGGCTGAGGGGAGACCTTATCGCTCTCTACAACTACCTGAAAGGGGGTTGTAGTGAGGTGGGTGCTGGTCTCTTCTGTCAGGTGGCTGCAGATAGGACAAGAGGAAATGGCCTCAAGTTGTGGCAGGGGAGATTTAGGTTAGATATTAGGAAAAATTTCTTTACTGAGAGGGTTGTCAGACATTGGAATAGGCTGCCCAGGGAGGTGGTTGAGTCACTATCCCTGGAGGTATTCAAAAAATGAGTAGATGGGGTACTCCAGAACATGTTTAGTGGGCATGGATGATGGTTGGACTTGATGATCTTGAAGGTCTTTTCCAACCTAAATGATTCTATGATTCTCAACTGGCTGCTTCTGCTTGTCCTGTTTCTAAATCCCTGCATTGTGAGGAGAGAAGTTATGTGGACACTGTGAGTAGAGCTCTGATAACAGTTTGATTTTTCACTATGACTAACCTCAATGGTTAGTTAATAGGTGGTTGGTCTGTACTTGTATCCTTCCTGCCCATCCTCTGTAAAGTTAATTCCTCCTTAAAACCTCTGCTTAGTTCACAATGATGCAAGCAGTTCTGTCTGTTGCATAAAACAGTACTGAGTAAGCAAACTAGCTCTTA